TTATGGCATCAAGTACACACACACACAAAAAAAAGAAGGAAAAAGGATATATTACTTGTTAACAAAAGCTTCCACCATTGCTTTTCTTTCATCCTTTGATACCCTTTTGCGTTGCCTTTTGACTGCCGCTGAATCAGACGGAACAGCGGACGCAGCAAACGACTTCCCACGAACTGAGTTTGAAGCACCATCAACAACTACAACGGATTATACATGCATTCGTTATTTCCTAGGATTACTATTTGCTCAAAATGTTGATGATCCCAAGATACTATTTCACAGCCAGATTAACCAAAAATAAATAAATACTTGTGATAGAAATTCAAGAGAGGAAGAAAAAAAAAATACCTCGTTTGGAGAGATTTACAGAGAGTCGCCGAACAATCTGCATCTCTAAGTGTATGGAATCAACCCAACAGTATACACATAATAATATATTTGAAGTGAAAGCTTTGAAAGTGAAGGAGTAGGCGAAGGAGGGTTTAAGATTCCAAAATTAATCTTTTTCACTTTGGGGACTGAGGTTTAAGACAAGCTCTAGTCAATATAATAGGGCCTTTTTATTTTTTTTTATTTTTTTTATTAAGCAATAAAGGGGGCTCTTTTTTACTTGAATTTTTTTGGAAAGAGGGCTCCTTTTACTTGGTTTTTATTTTTCTCTCCCTCTCTTTTGCTTATTTTCCAGCAGTACAACGATTTTCCATATTGAGGGGTTTCGTTTATTTTTTTTCTAAATAACTTTTTTCCTAATCCACCAAAATCACTACAGTGTTGGTCTTTGGTAATGATTTTTTCTTTTCTTATTGGGTAGTACCAGGATTAACATACAAAGGAAAAAATAATAAAAATAAAATTTAAAAAAGACCAATATGGTTAAATAAGCTGGTTAGGTTAATGGTTTCAAGATTATGCCTATTCTTACTTTTTTCCTTCCAGATTTATTGTATCTTAGAAGTTCAATTAATTTAGTGGATATCACATTCATATAAGTAAAACAAAATTCAATCATTTTATCCAGCTAGGGAAATCTCCAAGATCTATCGTATTATGAATCAAATATTGCTCATGATAGTACAATTTTTTTTTGTTAAACTGTCAAATTTTTTATTTAACTAAGTACAAGTATTTACAACTGCTAGCTCAATTGGACTCTAGAGCTAGACCCTATCTAATAACTATATAACCAACCAGATCAAGCATTTTCCTGCCACACTTACAATCAACTCAAACTAGCTAGGGAAATTATTTAGCCTTTCTAATTTTTTTTTTCCATTTGAATTCACTCTACCCTCTGATATGCAAATCCAATACAATGTCTTTAATCCTCTGAGCGCAGGCAATCATCTTTCCTTGAAATCTCCTTTGGTTTCTCTCTGCCCAGGTGTGGTAGACCACTGCTGCACATAGAAACACTAGCATATCACCTCTAACTTTGTTGGCAGCCCTCCTTGTTATCCATACAATCTCCTCATCCCAGCTTCCAATCTGGTGTCTTTCTCCTATCCACTGCAGTAATGTAGCCCAGATAGTTCTGGGGTAATCACATGCAAACATCTGATGTTCCATTGTCTCCTCCATATTCTTTTCACATAATACACAGTCGTTTGTTACTGATATTCCCCATTTCCTTAGTCGATCAACTGTGGCTAATCTTCGATGTAATGCTAACTAAAGTATGAATTGGTATTTTGGTAATGCTTTGGATCCTATTGTTAATCTTTTCCAAGGACTCTTCTGGTACTGAGGCCTTGTCGCAATATAGAGCTTCTTGATGCTAAATTTTTCTTGCTTATAGTAGCTGTTCAAATCAGCAACTGGGCTCTTTTGGATGAACCAGTCCCTAACATAAAAAATCTTCCTAATAAGCCAACAAGCTTGCTTAGGAGTGCCCATAGTCATGACATTCTGATCTTTAATGTAGAAGTTATGGATCCATTGGATCCACAGGGTGTCCTTCTTTGCATTTATAGCCCACAACATCTTGCCCTAGGCAGCCTTATTCCAGAAGTGAATATCAAGAACATTAAGTCCACCTGCTGACAATGGCATCCCAAGCTATTAAGGCCCTCCTAGATGGTTCACTGCTTCCTGTCCACAGAAAGGTTCTGCAAGCTGTAAGTATTAGTTTGATGATCTTCTTTGGCAATAGAAACATCTGCGCCCCATATTTCTGCATTTCAAATACCACACTCTTAAGTAGCTGAAGCCTTCCACTGTATGAGAGTAATTTAGCAGTCCAACAGTTGAGTCTGGCAGTGATCTTCTCAATCAATGGCATACATTGTTGTATAGTTAGTTTCTTTGAAGACAAGGGTACTCCAAGATATTTAAATGGTAGCTCCCCTAGTGTGAATTGCATTTATTCTAACATCATTTCTTTGAACTCCCTAAAAACACCAGCAATGTATAGAGCACTCTTCTCCATATTGGCCTTGAGACCTGATACCTCAGAGAAATGATTAAACCTTTCTAGTAGCAGGCTTATAGAAATATTGTCTGCTCTACAACATAAAATCAAATCATCAGCAAAACATATATGGGTTATGTTATTTCTGGAGCATCTTGGATGGTAGTTAAAGTCTAGATTGTACTTCAAACTCTTGAAAGACCTATTTAGGTACTCCATCACCAATACAAACAGGTAAGGAGACATGGTCTCCTTATCTTAGCCCTTTCTTTGCTTGGAATTAGCAGTTAAGCCTTCATTCAGTAGCAAGGAGTAGCTGACAGTGGTCACACACTCCATTATCAACTGAACAAACTTCACAGGCATTCCAAACTCTAGGAGTATCGTCTTTAAGAAAGGCCATTCGACTGAGTCATAAGCTTTTCTTATGTCTACTTTAATGCAGCATCTTGGTGAGACCCCTTTCTGAGTATATCCCTTGACCAGTTTATGTGCAATGATGACATTATCCAGTATGTTTCTCCCTTTAATGAAGGCTGATTGAGAAGGTCCCACAATGAAATCCAATACCGTCTACAATTTTGTTGTAATGATCTTTGAGATGAGCTTGTACAAAGTGGAACAACAAGCTATAGGTCGTTATTCTTTGACAGATGTGGGGCTAGCAACCTTAGGCACCAATGTTACTGTTGTACAGTTGACACTTTTCAGTAGTTTTCCATTAGTGAAAAACTCCTGTACTGCTCGTTTAACCTCTCCTCCAATAACATACTAGTATGCCTTGAAAAACTCAGCTGGAAATCCATCTATCCCTGCAGCCTTATCATTTGGCAAGTCTTTAAGGGCCTGGTCAATGTCCTCCTCTGTTACTTGTGCATTGAGTAGTTGTTGTTGCTCCTTGGTAAGACAATGCCCATTCCTGGTTGTATCAATATCAATGCAAGGAAGTTCATTAGCTGAAGTGCCTAAGAGTGTTTGAAAGAAACCTCTAAATTCTTGTTCTATCAATACTAGATCTGTCACTCTAAGCCCTTGGTCATTACATATAGATGCAATTCTGTTCCTAGATTGTCTGGCCTTCAAGTGAGCATGAAAGAATTTAGTGTTCTGATCACCTGCTTTTATCCACATTGCTCTGGATCTCTGTCTAAGTACTCATTCATTTACCCCTTCCTATCTTTCAATTTGCATAAGCAACTCTTTTTCCTTGGCTATTAATTGGGTGTTGAATGGATCTTCATCAAGTTTTCCTTGGGTATTCTGCAGCTGCACCCTGAGATTGCCAATCTTCTTCTTCAGTGAAAATATATCCTTGTTCATTTGTTGTGTCTTGTCTTTTAGCCTCTGCAATTTTAGCCAAAGTGAGTACATGGTACTATGTACTTGTTGATTCCACGCCTTATGGACAACCCGTTTAAACTCCTTATGAGTTACCAGCACATTATATAGTCTAGAAGGCTTTGGCAAGTGAGTTTTAGCTACATCTATGTTGATAATAATAGGGAATGGTCAGACACTTTAGGCATTTCAAAAAAAAACCTCTAGGCTACTGTAATCTGTAAGCCAAGAAGCATACCCAGACTCGCAATCAATATTGCTATATATTCTAATCCCTGCATCCCTTTTATTACACCATGACCATTGACAACCTTTCCTATTTAACTGCCCCAATCCAATATCCTTTATGCATTCTTGAAAGTCCACAAGTTCAGCTTGATGCGCAGGTTGCCCATTGATCCGATCATGGATAGACAACACATTGTTGAAGTCCCCCATGACTAACCAAGCATCATGCATGGTACTATGAATTTGTCTGAGTTGTTCCCATAGATCCTTTCTTTCATTTATCTTGTTCTTCCCATATACAAATGTTATGTAACATGAGAATTATGATCCTTTATCCTTCACTTGACATTGTATCAGTTGAATAGTTACCAGAAGTATGTGGACCTGCACCATGTTTTCCTTCCAAAAGAGCCAGATTCTCCCAATATTACTTATAGCTTCATCTGAATATAGTTTCCATTCCTTACAGAACTTTCCTCTAACTTTGCTAACACTCCTAGGCTTTATCTTTGTCTCAAGGCAGCCTAGTAAAGTGATCTTATGTTTCAGCAGAAAGGCCTTGAGTTCTTTCTACTTAAAGGGCTTGTTCAACCCTCTTATATTCCAGGAGCTTATTATCATGGTGGATTTTCCTCGTTGAGGCCAATCCCTTTAGTCACCTTTTCACTACTGCTATCTTCATGTATTCTCAATGGACTATATTTGTTTTCCTCAACATATTCTCTAAATCAGCATCAGTTAGAGCTCATTTCTGTTGTGTTTGCCCTTGAGCTTTCATCTTTTGCTTCCCTCTAGTTTGAATTTCTTGTTGTTTCTGTAATTGTTCCAGATTCTGATTTTCCTGCTTTTGTTTGTTCAGTAACAGGTTTTACTCTCCACTGGGCAGCAAGTTGTTTTCTATGCTGTTGCTTAACTGCTTTCACCTGCCTCTACTATTTATCATTTTTCTCAATGTTGTCTTTGTGTTCATTGGTTTGCTTCTGTTGCATCACTGATGGAGCCTTCTCACAATTTTCAGCATGTTGTCCTATTTGAAAACACCCTTCACAAAAAGAAGGTTTCCATTCATAATCAAGGGCTTGTTCTCTATATTTGCATCTGCTTCCTTGATGAGAATTGTATCTGGTAACTCTTGAGATATATCCATTTCAATAAACATACGTGCATAGGAAATCCTATCCCCATCTGTTGTAAGTTTATCTAAACGTATAGGTTTTCCTAAATAGTTGGCTAAACATCCCAAATTCTCCTTTGTCCAGAATTGAATTGGTAATCCTGGGAATATGACCCAAATTGGCATAGTTCGAGTCACTTCTTTACACATATAGAAATTGGGCACCCATTGCTTCAATATAATGGGTCTATTATGATATGTATATGGACCTTGCTGTATAATTTTGTTCTTATCTTCCTCAGAGCTAAATCTGAATATAAAGTACCCATCATCATGTAGGAATACCTGTGGTGTAGTGATGAAATTCCACACACCATACACAAACTTTAGCATTTCCTTGAAGGAGGGAGTTCCACCCAGTACATACCCAATTAGCGCTGCTTTCCATTTCTGGGTTTGCTCTTCTACCTCAGCCTAATTTAGTCGGACAATTTTCACTCCTTACTTCAATATTGGTGGACAATATTCCAATTGCATCCCCTATTGCTGAGATCTATTTCCTTTGACCACATCAGCTAGAGTCGACTCTGGTCGACTAGGGTTTGCTCGTTGCACTGAGAAAGTCAGCTTCCTTGTTGTTGTGTTGACATCTACCTTTACTGGTTTAGGCTTCTCCACTTCGATACATTTCGAAGCTTGCATGACGGTTGGTGCACTTCCCATTCAAGTCATCCAGTGAACTAGTTGCATTTGACCTATCATTTGTGGTATCCCTGATCCGCTATTACCATTCTACCTCCTTCATCCGTCTCCGGTATTGTAAGCGGTGCAATTATCTGTGATTTTCGTCGAGCCATCGTTGGTGTGCGTACGTTAGCTATCCCTGCTGAACGTGCGCCTTCAGAGCTCGATTTTTAAGAGCGGCTAATACAATATCATTTTTCCTATATTAGTACAAAATCTTGGTATAAATAAAATTAAGAATATTACAGTTTACAAGACTGAGAAGCTAAAATCTTCACTTAGTTGATCTTTTCCCTTGATCAAGATGTCATGATTCAAAATATTGTGTTTTGGGTGCATAGTTCCATATTTATCATTAGCAAACGCATCTATAGATAGGCGGATAATTCACTACTTTATTCCCTTTCGTATACATATGTAGGTATATGGTTCGAATTAGAACACTCCTAGCTCAATCATGGTGCTAATGTGGAACAACGAAGAAACACCAGTGGACCAAATCGGAGGGACAGATCAGGAGATCCACGCCATGGTTAAAGTAAGCAACTCTGCTAACTCTTGGCTTTGCTCAATCATTTAAGCTAGCAACCTTCTTGAGGACAGACTTGTACTATGGAGTAACCTCAAAACAATAGCAGACGTGGCTAGTTGTAGGGAATTTCAATGAAGTTACTCGTGCCTCAGAAAAATTTGGAGGGCTGCCTGTTAGCAACAATAAGATCACCCACTTCCTCAATTGTTTAGACTACTGTAGGTTATTAGACCTAGGGTTTAAGGGACCTAAATTTACCTGGACTAACAAATAAAAATATTGTAAATCCATAATAAGGGAAAGGGTAGACAGATGCTTAGCAAACGATGAATGGATTAACTTATTTCAAGAAGCCAATGTTAAGCATCTCATTAGGACACACTCCGACCACTGTCCGATTAAGTTAGATTTTCAGAAAAATATTGTAACCAATAATAGTTTATTTAGAATAGAGTCCACGTGGATGTCACACCCTTCTTTCATACCATTAGTGCATGCCACTTGGTCTAACCAAATGGACATTACCAGCGCTATAGATAATTTTACCAACAAGGTCAAGGAATGGAATACTAACGCCTTTGGTGATATTTTTCGTCAAAAACAAGATTATTGCTAGAATAGAGGAAATTCATAAGTCCACAAATTACATTACTAGCCAATTCCTCATTAATCTAGAATCTGAGCTGGTTAGGGACTATAATAACATCCTTAAACTTGAAGACACACTACTACAAAAAAGACCTTTAGCGGCAATAAAAAACGGCTTTAGCGGAAATAACAATAGCCGCTAACTCTTTTACCAGCCATTAGGGTTTTGCCGCTGATGTTGGGGTCGGCAAAGCCTTTAGCGGCTTTTCTCGCAAAAGCTGGTAAAGGGTATGGTTTATTGCCGCTAAAAATTATTATCTTTAATGGCAATTGTTTGCGGCAATTATAATGGCTACTAAATCCGATCCAAAACGGCCAACTATACCTCTTTAGCATCTATTTTTATAGCCGCTAAATTCAAACTAATTGCCGCTAAAGGTTCGCATCTCTAACGGCAATTGTTTGCGGCAATTATAGTGGCTACTAAATCTAATCCAAACGGCTAATTATACTTCTTTACCATCCATTTTTATAGCCGCTAACTTTAAAATAATTGCCGCTAAAGGTTCGCATCTCTAACGGTAATTATTCTATTGCAATTAAAAAGACAATACTATCCCTTCTTAAAATATCTTAGTTTGCCCTTTAGAGTCCATTTTAATAGCTTAACTAAATTGCTAATAATTATCAATAGCTTTAAAAGTTATAAGCGATAATAGCAATAATTTGGCCACAATTAATAATATATAGTTACTACATTTGTATAGAATATGACCCAAATAATAAAATATATTAATATTAATTAAAAAAAACATAATATATCTCATAAAATCTTAATAAACAAAAGAAAGTAGTAATTAAAAATATTAATATCACAGTAACTTAAAACATAAAAATATACTGTTTGGACTAAATAGCAATGTCATCATTGTAATAATCCAGAATAATGGTCTTCAAATGATTTCCGCAACTTTTCATCATTTTGAAATCTTCCAACCGCTAAATTATAGAACATCAGACTGTATGACATGAAATTATAAAATAATTGTGTTAAAGGATAAAGTATATACATGGAGTGCTGAAATAGGAGACTAGTGTTATAGCTACCAGTGCATTTTCTTTTGCAGGAACAAATGAATTTCATTCATCAATGGGAAAAGGAAAGGGAACAAGATCCATTAGTTCTCTTGGACTTCTCTGTGCTATGAAAAAGAAGAAGGAGATGCAGGTTTTAGATCCATTCAAGACATTTCAAATGCTTTTGCAGCTAAAGCCTGGTGGAACCTAAGGAGGAAGTGATCACTTTGGAAGGATTTTATTGAAGCCAAATACTGTTGTAACACTCATCCTATTGCAGCTAATTGGAAGATTGGAAATTTACAAATCTAGAAGAGATTAAAGGATATCAACTTGTGCAGAAATTTCAGCCCAAAATGTGCAGAAATTTCAGCTTCAAGCTGTGGAAAATTGCTGTAAAATACTGCTCAAATCTTGATCACAAACAGCTGAACATTAGACTGTTCAGAAGCTGCAAAAACTGGGCAGAAACTTCCAACAGAAATAAAAATAGAATTCAGCAAACAGAGGCCCTATCTAGCTGACACTTTGTGATATTAATTCATATGAAGCAAACCAGTTGTGCAGTGTCCGAGCACTCTTAAACCATTCAGCTAAGTCATGCGACTAAAGCAACTACACAAGAACCAAACCAACTCAAAAATAATGGAAGAACAACTACAACAAAAACAGAGGCGCCATCAAAGCTTGAACTTGCTAAATGATGTATCAATCAGCGCAGCCCACAAACTATCCAATTTACAATTGTTAAAGAGTATTTGAGCGTAACTGCAAGGTTAAGAAGTATAGTTGAATCAACAGTCTCATACTTAAAAAATTAATCCTTTTCCAATCAGGGAGGCAAGCAACATAGTGCATAATTCTTGAGCAGAGATCTACCAAAGATCGTACTTGTATTAGAAAAAGATCACGAAAGACAATGCAGAAAGAAAAAAGAAAGAAATGAAGCACCAAAAAACCAACACGATTCCATCCTTTTTTTAAGCAACATGATATTGTCTATTTATCATCTCACCAGTTTAATATCAAGCAAACTAGGGAATTTCTGGTTATGTGACCTATTTAACTAAGCAGATCTACATCAAAGCTTGAACTTGCTAAATGATGTATCAATAAACGCAGCCCACAAACTATCCAATTTATAATTGTTAAAGAGTATTTGAGCGTAACTGCAAGGTTAAGAAGTATAGTTGAATCAACAGTCTCATACTTAAAAAATTAATCCTTTTCCATGTCACGACCCCAACCCCGGTCGTGATGGCGCCCAACACACTACTAGGCAAGCCCGACCATTTAGACAACCTTAATCAATTAATCACAGTGCATGAATAAATTAACATAGCTGAATTACCAAGTCAAATGCTGAAATCCCGAAATAGATTCAAACATACGGAAAACCCAAAATATAAAATACTACACAGCCCGTAGAATCCGGTGTCACAAGTCTGAGCCTCTAATACATGAGTGTCAACCTACTACGTATCGTTCTCTAGAAATGCGGAAACAAAATAAATAAGATAGAAGGAAGATCAGGACTGCGAACGTCAAATGCAGCTATCTTGAAACTCCCGAATGTGATGCTAGGCAGAGAAAAGTCTCACTCAGCCTCAGTGGGTATACCTGAATCTGCACGCAAGGTGCAGGGAGTAATGTGAGTACTTCCAGCCCAGAGAGTAATAAACATAAATAAAGGTTGAGAATAAGAAATCCTGAATAGGCACAAAGTAATTCAATAAATACAACAACTTGAACCAGTAGCATAAAAACAGTAATACGGTGAAAACAATTATAGAAATATCACAGCAGATAAAGGAATAAGTGACAATTAAAAATATGCAATGCAACACATAGACCGGTACTTTCCAGTACCCGCTGCGGCGTGCAGCCCGCTCCATTTATTTATCGTCGACGGCGCTAACTGGGGGTGTGCAGACTCCGGGAGGGGCCTCTTACGGCCCAAGCGCAATAATAAGCCATCTCGTCGAATCAACTAGGCCCTCGACCTCATGTCGATATCAATATCATACCGCTGCGGCGCGCAACCCGATCCCATACTCAGTCCAAAATCATGTAAGCCTCTCGGGCACAATAATATAAAAATATTCAGCCCAAACTTCATTTGAAAATGTTAATTAAGTTTCTAGTTTGAGAAAAGTGGCTGAGTTTGCAAAACAGTATTAAATACTAGGACTGAGTTCAATTATCTGTAAATATGGTAAGAAACCAGTAAAAACAATCCCTGAAGGATTCAAGCAGTTGGCACGAAGCCCAATTATGACAATTAATCCATTTTTATAAGGATATCACTAAGCTTCAATCAATTAGGTAGTAATTTTATTAAGCGGGACGGACCAAGTCACGATCCCCGACGGTGCTCTACCCCACGCCCTTTATCCGGCGTGCAAGTCACCTCGACATAGCACTACAATGTGCAAATTCGGGGTTTCAAACCCTCAGAACAGCATTTACATCTATTACTCACCTCAAGCCGGCCAAAGTTCTAGCTCCTATGCCCTTGCCTTTCGAATTGACCTCCTCGTGTACCGAATCTGATCAAAACCACAACGAATATGTCACAATATGCTAATGGGACAATACCCAATCGAAAACAATAGAAAAATAGCGAAAATCTCGAAATTAGCAAAATCCGAGCCCCGGGCCCACTTCTCGAAAATCAGAAAATTTACCATCAACGGATTCCTTAACTCGCCACGAGTCTATACATATAAAGAACACCAAAATCGGAGTCCAAATGACCCCTCAAATCCCCATTTTAGCTCTC